TTTCATCAGATTGTCTTAGAATTATCAACTTTTTTAAAGTTGGTCATTTCACTTAACCCATCTGTAATGATAAAACACTAATTCCAGAGGTTAATGACACAATATCCTCAAAATCAGGAAATAATAGTACCCCAAACTAATACATACAAGACATAAAGTGCTGTCACCATCATACGCACTCATACTAGACACACATATGTTAACTGTTCATTTTCAATATTAATTTTTCTTTATGTTATTGCTAAAAAAGATTTAAATTTTAAATAAGATTTTAAACTTCCCATTTTCCGGTAGCTTCTACCTAATTTTACATGGTCTCCCAACCAGTTTCAAAGCATGTCTTGTTCATTATTCATTAGAATTTAACGAGGTCAGCTGGGTTGTTTTGTTTCATTATCATTATTTTGCTTCAGCTTGCTCTAGCAGGCCGATAATGGAAAGACAGACACAGTTACCATCCCTTCCTCTGCTCAAGCAGTCTCTCTCACTATAAATAAATTTCTAAGACTGTAACTTATATAAAATGTAATATTAAATTCGTTACAATAATCTTTGACCATTCACCTTGTTATCCAGACTTTTCTCAAATCTACAAAAGCTGTCTTCATCTTTAGCCACCACCATGTCTAACGACCTTCAGGAGTTAAAACTATGTCATAGACCTATTAGTTCAAAATCAACACTATGATTTTCCTTGCCCATAAGGCAAACCAGTACATAAAAAGTTTTGCTACTGTCTCCACAACAACTAATGGGAATCACTTCATGGCCTCAGCTGGCTCTTGAAAGCCCACTCCTGTTAGCCCTTTATCTATAATCTCCATCAGGGTGTTTTCCCCTGGCATATTTGCAGACGCTTGTCACAATAAAAAAAAAACAAGCCATACAATGAATGCGGTTTCTGGTGATTGGTATTAGAGGAACACTCACGTTTCGGGGTCAGACTGTCTGTAACTCCTCACAGCGCATCCGCCCTAACGATAAAGGATGCTGCTGGCCTCACAGTCATCCGCTCCACTCTCATACCTTTCTCACATAAACACCTCCATCTTGAGATGCCCAGTGACTTTACGTGATCCACTCTGGCTTGGGTTGCCCCCTGTCTGGCCAATAGAAGGTCTTACCCGTCATTGAGTAGCCACTCGTGCCCACTGGTGACCGCTCTTTCCCATCACAGGCTGTTTGCTTCAACAGAACTCAGCTGTTTTCTAGAGCTTAGGAAAGGCACGTTCAAGAGTCACCAGAGCCATTCCGATTGCCTAATAGTGTTCACATAGGGAGACAGGTCAAAAACAACAGTATTTAATCACTTAAATCCATTAACTATCTTAAAAGCAGCAACCTAGCTACTTGGATTATACTCAGTGAATTTAGATCACAACCGTACATTCAGTGTACTTTTCCGTCTGCCCCTCCCCCGTTTCATGGTGGGGACTAAGATCAGACAAAGAAGTTACGGGTCCTAAAATAACCTAATCAAAGATGTCACTACAAATAGCTTATTATCACTTATGACACCGACTCAGGTAACAGCTTTTAGCTGACATTGACTGAGAGAGAGACATTGAATGAGGGAGGGACTGGTACACTGCACTCTGAACGTCTAACTTTATCTACCATCTTTTAACTCTATCCCAGCTTAAGGCATCTTTGCCAGATATTACATACGGTTTCAAATAAACATATTATTTATATTTGTCTTTTGCCCACACATCAGGAAATTTAGGCATTACAAATTTCCACTCAGATTGAGTCTGTTGCACTGGCAGTTTCAGCCACAGCACACATCAGATTCAGATAAGCAAACTGTTTCATTACAGCCAATAACAAACTTATCTTTTGAAAGCAAAACATCAGCTTCTAGTTCTTTCATGGTCAACTTTTCAAGCTGTTTGTTTAATCAGCATTTAGCAACTGTTAATCCAGTACTGCTTCTGCTTATTTGTTCTTACATAAAAATAATTATTCTAGTTCTCAATAACGTTTCACATTTCTCAATCTCAATTTTAATTGTCAAGTTCTCAACCATAGTTTAATATTTGACTTAAGATTTCTCTTGGAGTTTATCAATCTCCAATTAGGATTCACACACTAAGTTTGACGAGGCAAGCACTCTCTGCTTGTGATACTTTTGCAGTTATTGTAAATCATCTGTGAGATTAGTCTCTCTATATCATCTAAAACCTTTTTAAAATGTTGAATTACAACACAATCATCCTTTTAGTTACTTTGATATATTTTGCAACTCACATTTGTTGGAGTCATTAATTTTACATCAACCTGTATTCATCAATTCACTTATAAAAATTAGTATTATAGATCTTTTCTTCAAAAGGGTTCATGTGTCAGCCTCAACGGCTCCAACAAGCACGCCCTTGAAGCAGTGTGTCCCATTCAGGAATGTAAACAGAGCCACTGATTAAGCAGTTCTCTGTATTCTTTTACAGTCCACCAGTGGCGGATTTAATCATAATAACCCAATCATAATCTTCATCATTATTATTGGCAGAACATTAATTTTCATAAGCTGCAAAATATTCTAAGTTGTTTTCACAAAGTGTCTGTTTAACTTTAGTCGCTTGTCCAGGGAAATTATCCCAGACCCAGAATTTCTTTCACTTGCTTCTTGTAATCATCGTAAGCAATACGAGGCTAAACATTTTAATTTCTCTGTTTCTTTGTTTGTTTGTAGCCAGTCAAGTTGTTTAAATTTCCAATCAGAATCAAAATCCTGACTACCATTTACTTTCTTCATTTCATTACTCAACTTCATTTCTGCAAATTTATTTAAAGTGAGGGCTTTAGAGCACAGCTGCTTACAGCGTTTGCTTCTCCTGTCTCACTATTTGTTTCAGGACTCTTCAGGTTACTGATTAAGTTATTACATTTTTCTGCCATATCTTAATCATGGTTCATACTCACCTGAAGTTATTGCAGAAATGGAGGCGGCGATCTTTGAACAACACAGCTTGGCTTCTGCGTGATGAAACTGCAAAGTATACTCCAAAATCACAGTTACATATACTGGTCCATGCCAATTTGGGTCACAACTTTTTAAATTTTTCTCTCGGAATTGTTCCTGATGCATCCCTGGCAAACAACCCTATTATTGTTAGTATCCCTAACTGCCTGATTCACTTCACTAAGTTCGGGGATCCCCTATCTGAGATGGAAGAGATTGAGCAGGTTTACGGTGCCACTGGACCTCTAGCCCAGGGACGTGCTCTGCTGGGGTGGTGCTACACCAGTAATGCCCAGCGGGGCCCCCACAGAGCACGCTTCGCTTGCGCTGTCTGCTGCCGTTACCCTTAACGACGCTCTCAGCGACTTCTTATACTGTCAGCAGTATAATTAACTTACTCCTTCACTCGCCTCATCGGAGTGAAGCTTCACTCGCCTCATCGGAGTGAAGCTCTCCCGCTCTCCTTCAAAATCTCTTCCAGTCAGACAGCCCTAACAATTAACAAAAGCTTACTACCTTGTTTGTTGATTTGCCAGGGGTGTCACCGAGAATAATTGCCTGCGCATCCTCCACCATAACTGTAAGGGGTATACAGTCAAAGACCCAGAACCAGATATGAAGAATGAAGACCCGGAGTCAGAATTATAAAAAATTAAAGAAAAGTTTTACTGAAGATAGTTTGCATTTTCATCAGCAGAAGTCAGCTTCAAGACTCACACAGGAGTTCGTAGGCCGCCTCCCTTACAGTTACAAAGATCACAGCAGTTATACCATTTCCAAGGTCTAAGCTACGTCATTGCTTACAGGTTGAATGATTCTCATTGGCTAAGAAACATTAAAGCCTAAACAATTTAACACATGTGAGGAGATAGGGGTGCCTATCGCCATTAGTAAAGATAGTTGTCGTCCACTCATTGGATTTAGGCCTGTGGTGGCCTCGCAGGTTAGAGAAGGGCGCCGGGGTGTCTGGTCCGACCGTCCAGAACCTACATAGAATGTCATACGCACACACACAAATAACAGACACTAGCAAATAACAGCTCCCATCAAGGCTGAAGAGAGTCTGAGCTCCTTATTATCAGTTAAGTATACCAAAACATACTGCTAAAACATTCACTCGTTTGGGAGAAAAACAGATCACTGGCATTTACTCCCAAGGAAGGAAATATACTGGAAAGAATACATTTTAATACAACAATTAAAGTTTGATAGTAACGCTCAATATAGCTTGACCATATGTCCAACGAAGGATCATATGTGCCCACGCTGCCTTTAGGACCCTCTAACCTTTCTACTGATCCCAGAGAAAGAGACAAACGGCCTTGTGGGTTACGTGGCCTTCGTGTCCTGCGTGTACTACGTGCAATCTCAAAGTAAGATTGGGATGCACCTAAAAGAAACTGGTTACTTGCATCCATGCATTTAAGAAAATATAATTTCACAGGCACAAGAATATAAAAATTATTATGTGATAATGAATATATTTGATTATTGATTTTTATAAAGGAAGTATATAACCATTCAAAATGATATATGATTATATATGTATTTGAAGAGGCAAGGGATTTTGACCAACCCTTCACACTGAATCAGTAAGTAACCAGTGACCGTGTTATAAAATTTATAAACAATACCATTTAACAACTAAATCATTGTTTATTGTTTTAATACTGTGCATATTTAAAGAGTGCATATTAATGCATATTCAGTCAAATAATAAATGTACTTATTTATTGCTGAAAAATCAGGCATTATGGGACTAGCAAAAACTCACCCCAATATACATTATATTCCTTATTACATATAGTAGTTTAATAGTATCATTAACTTCTTGAAACTTTCACTAATTTCATTTATAGGGAGCTTTTTATTTAATGCTGAGTTGGCTTGATTTTGCATTACATTCTGTGATCGCAGAATCTTCAAATCCTGGAGGGACTGTTCCATTTATGTCGCAGTCAAATAAACAATATAGATCCTTCAGGAAAACTGGACAAAACATGCTGTCAAGTATTAGTTCATATTCCATACAGGTGTCGTGACATTGTTTATTCGATCTCACTTTTTTACAGTCCATAGTTGTGAGTTTTGTGGGACAAATTTTGAATCCAGACGAGGTCTCTCCAGTCACGCCCGGTATCATCTCAGGCAGCTGGGAGTGGCTGTGTCCGACAGCAGTGGAGCTCCTATAGACCTTCTGTGCCAGCTGATGAAAGAAAGAGGCGGAACTCTACCCAAGCTCAAAAAACAGGCCAGCCCTGTTAAAAAATACAAACCCCAGTCCCACAAACTCAAAAAGGAAGCTGGGCCCAAATTAAAGATTAAAATATCCAACCTTGTAAAGAAAAAATATGCTCTTTCCTCATCTTCCCCCTCTGCTGTCAAAGGATCAGCAGCGTCTGGCCACTCTTCTTCGCCTTTCGCTGTAGGGAAGCCTCATAAAGCATCTTCAAAGAAGATTTTGGTGTCCACTCCATCTTCAGCCTTGTCTCCTCTCAAGGCTGTTGAACCCAGGCTCATTGATGGCATCCCACCTATCTCCCTCTCACTGGCCTCAGCCAAGCCCCTCTGGGCCCCTCAGGAAACAGATGCTCCTCTCAATTTAAGTAAGTAACAGTATTAAAAATGTATTGGTATGTGCTTGGAAGTGGGAAACTTGTACTAGTAAATTTTACCACTCACTGAAGCAAGCTAGTTAATCTGATGAAGCAATCCTTGCATACAAAATCAATTTTGAAATGTTCTGTGCTTTTTCACCAGCAACTATGATAAAAAATTCCGCTGCGAGGGATGACGTTCATGTGTGTGAATTATGTGGAGCCTGGTACGAGACCCGTAAAGGTCTCTCCAGTCACGCACGGGCCCACCTGCGGCAGTTTGGTGTGAATTTGGAGTCTAAAGGTGCTCCCATTGAGATGCTCCATAAAATTATTCAGAGCGAGGAATTCCAGGAAAAGGCCAGTGCTGGGCAGCTGGAAGGGTCGGACTTTGAGGATCACACTTCACCCTCCTCGGCTCCTTCCACCTCATCATCCATCAGCAAAAATCCCTCTCTTACCCCTCTATCGTTTAAAGGACTGACATCCATTCGTCTAACACCTCCCCCAATCAAAAAGCAGATTTCTCCTGATGTTTCAGGGAACTTGCCCCTCAGCAAGAAAGCAGAATTTAAATCCCCTCCTTCAGCCAAAAAGAAGAAGATTTCATTAGATGTTTCAGGGAACATGCCCCTCAGCAGCCAAACAGAATTGAAATCACCTCCCTCAACGAAAAAGAAGAAAATTTCTTCAAATGTTCCAGGGATCTTGCTCCTCATTGGTAAAGGAGAATTTAAATCTCTGCCAACCAAAAAACAGAAGATTTCTGCAGATGTTTCAGAGGCTTTACCTCTCATTGAGAAAACAGAATTGATATCACCTCCCTCAGCGAAGAAGCAGAAGATTTCTCCAGATGTTTCGGCGGGCTTGCAGCTTGACAAAAAATCTGTATTTAAATCACCCTCTCGAGGTAAGAATATAAATAGTTTTCATTTATTTTATTGTATTTTGTATTTTTTTTTAACCAAGAAACTTTTATTTATGTAGTGCTTTCTACAATGCAGATTGTTTCAAAGCACCTTTACAGTGATAACAGAAAAATGATATTCAATGATGCAAACAGCTGTACAGCAGTTCAATGTTGATTCAGTTCCATTGTAAAGATCATCAATTATTAAATTGATTCACTTCATCTATAAAGCAGTTCTACAGAAAAAGAGAGATGCCATCCAGCTCAGATTTAAAAAAAAAAAAAAAAAAATTTTTTTTTTTTTTTTTTTAGGAATGTTTGAATATCTTGACTATGAATGGACTTGGGGGTGGGTGATAATTTATAGCAAAATATGGTAATGGAAAACCCAGATTTTTAAGAGTGTGACACCCATGGAAAACTGCGTAGATATTAAATTTCTGTGTAGATATTAAAAGACTAGTTAAATATAGCATGTTTCTGTAGACTAGAAATTACTCTTTTTGAGCGCAATCTTAAAAAGTCTTTTCAGTAAAGAACAACTGGAAAGCCATTGAAATATTATTTTGGTCAGTAGCAATATACATATACAGTACTATTCTGACATTAAAGGCTTTTACATTGTTACAACAAATTGCAAATAAATGCTGTTCTTTTGACATTTCTATTCATCCTAGAATCCTAAAAAAACATATAATGGTTTCCAAAAACAAAATAAAGCAGCACAATTATTTTAAACATTGATATCATTCATTGATATTGTTTCTGGAATGAGCACCAAATCTGCATCTTTGAATGATTGCTGATGGACCCTGTTAAATTCAGCTTGCCATCACAGGAATAAATTAGATTTTAAAATATATTTTACTAAAAAAAATCATTTTGCAGTATTACCATTTTTATATTTGATCAAATAAATGCAGCCTTGGTGAGCATAAAGAGACCTTTTTCAAAAACATTAAAAAGTCTAACCAACCCTAAACTTTTAAACGGTAATGTAGTTCATATATATACAGTTAACCTTAAGCTTCTTCACAGGGGGCATTAAGACATGATTTTACATCCAATAACCAACAAACCATTTGTTTTTATGTTTGTGACCTCTGTCTTTAACTACCAAATATGCACATTCAGTTGTATTACAAAAAACGTGTCCTAACATACTTTGCTCTGATCATTTATGAAATGCCCTCTTTCTTACCCTCAAGGCGAGTCATCTAAAGGTGTCGCCTGTGAATTCTGTCACGAGAAGTTTAAGAAGAGTCAGAGCTTGGCCAGTCACGCCCGCTATCACCTGCGCCAGCTGGGCATCACCGAGTGGTCTGTAAACGGGTCTCCCATGGCCACTCTGCGAGAGGTGATGGCCCAACGTGCTGGATCTCTCAGTTCCCCTGGGCCGCCCTCGCTGACCCCACCGGTATCCCCCTCTGTACCTCCCTCTGCACCTCCCTCTATACCCCCTCTCCTCTCATCCTCTAAACCCAGTACCCAGTCTTCCTCTCCTCCTCCTGTTCCTCACAAAGTTCCAAAGGCCAAGAAAGGCTCCAGGACTGTGTTCCCAAAACCAAAGGACGAACCTGTGGAAGTTGATATCTCTATCATAGAGTCTCCAAAGCCACAAAGCGCACCCTCCAGCCCTTTAACACCTCCATCTGATTCCAACACCGTTAGATCACCCATGATCGGTGCGTAAAAATTACAGTGCATCCAGTTACTTCTTTTATTCTTTTCCTTCTATTTATTTAAACTTTCTGTAGATTTTTCCATCCTTAAGACGTAGTCACACTAGACTACAACTATACAATCAATTCCCTTTTACTACAAACCTGCAGCTTTAAAGTTTGAAGTCTTGTAATTCAGCTTAGAGATATTCATGCCATGACGAATCGTTCTTCCGTTGGTCACATGTCTTTACCTGATACGAATTTGCAAGTCAGAGTTCACCAAACTTGAACTTTCAAATGCAGTGAAATTCGCATGATTTTGCATTTCCTGTTTCCTGTATTCGCATGTGCATAAATGGAAGTCAAGTGAACAAACGTTGTAGTGTGACCACTCCTTTAGGTGTGCTATTAATTTAAGGATTAAAAGTATAAATTTAGGAAATTAATAGATAATTACCGGTACATAATTTTACAATTTCCATTTTAATTCTGATTATTTATTTGCCTGGTTAATTTTATATCTTAATGTGATGTTCAACGTTTTAGCAAAAAAACATTTTAAAAAAACCCATAAATAACTGTCAACACCCACTACAAATCTCATGTTTTATTGTGAATCCCTTGTTTTGTTGGGTTTGTAATGACTTGTGTCTGCTTTCCTCAGCTCCTAAGCCTGAAAAGCAGGAGCCCAAACAGTTTGTATGCTGTGACTACTGTGGCGAGATGTTTGATACTCGTAAAGCCCTGTCCTGTCACGCACGTGGTCACTTACGACAGATGGGAGCAAGGTGGTCGCTGAAAGTCCCGCCCATAGAGGCCCTGTATGAGGTCATGAAGAGGAAGGACTCTGAACGGGCATCCCAAATCAAACCGGAACCTGATTCAGGGGCGGCAGTGCAGTTGAAAAAAACAGAATCCTCACCTCACACTTTTACTCTATCACCTGTGGAAAAAGAGAAACCTGTCTCAGACGACACAACTACAGGTACGTTGAACCAAGAATTATTTGTCTCTTAGTAACTAACATTACAACCTCCCAAAAACTGCTCATAGACATAAGCATTCTTCTATTTTTAATCAAATACATTATTATTTATTATTTGATCAGGCTGTGAAAACAAAGATATTTCATCACACAATCAGATAAAATTTCTAAATAACTATGTTAAATTCCACGTTGATAACTGGATGTCACTTGCTGAATGAAACATGCCACACTGTCTTTGTGATGTTTTTTGCATTTTCTGATACCAAAAATTATTTTAATGCAATGGCTGCTAACTTAAAAAATGGCAAATAATATGAATCTATTCTACTTTATTAATATGTTTGATGTGCACTCTTAAAGGGGAAGTGTTATTCAAAAAAGTAACCCTTAAAGGGTTCCTTTTTTGCCATGATCTTTTGCTATTTCTAGTGCTGGCCGATAAATACATATGCCGATAATACAGCGTTTTTAGTCGTTTTTGTGTGATCGTTTTGACAACGTTCCCTATATGTGAAAAACGCAAAGGGAAAAACCTTTCCATTTAAAAAAAAGCACCATAGTGTGTTTTTTTATATATACTGTATATATATATGTTATGTACTGTTAAGTACATTAGTATTTCATTCTAAATATTAAGTTACAAAGGACAAACTGACCAAAGCTGACTCTATCCAGACATTATTCTGGATGGTAAAGCAATGTCTACTTTCATGTCTTGTGTTCTCTACTCTCTTCCCTTTCTGTTGTAGGCTGTGATGCCACCTGTGAACTCTGTGGTTTTGATTTTGAGAATCGCAAGGCACTGGCCAGCCACGCAAGAGCCCACTTAAGGCAGCAGGGAGTGGATTGGAAGGTCATCGGCTCTCCTATTGAGACCCTGAAGGCCTGGATGAAAAGTGAGCCGGGGAAGGTAGCAGAGCTCCACAAAAGCTACATGAGGGGGGACTTGCCTTTTGTTAAGAAGGTATGTCCAGGTTGAATTGTTGCCTAACTAGAATGATATTTCTTATCTCTTAAGCATAAACTCACTAAAGATGTTAGATTTACACTTAAAACATAAAAAAGGGGTAATATACACTCGCCTAAAGGATTATTAGGAACACCTGTTCAATTTCTCATTAATGCAATTATCTAATCAAGCAATCACATGGCAGTTGTTTCAATGCATTTAGGGGTGTGGTCAAGACAATCTCCTGAACTCCAAACTGAATGTCAGAATGGGAAAGAAAGGTGATTTAAGCAATTTTGAGCGTGGCATGGTTGTTGGTGCCAGACGGGCCGGTCTGAGTATTTCACAATCTGCTCAGTTACTGGGATTTTCACGCACAACCATTTCTAGGGTTTACAAAGAATGGTGTGAAAAGGGAAAAACATCCAGTATGCGGCAGTCCTGTGGCCGAAAATGCCTTATTGATGCTAGAGGTCAGAGGAGAATGGGCCGACTGATTCAAGCTAATAGAAGAGCAACTTTGACTGAAATAACCACTCATTACAACCGAGGTATGCAGCAAAGCATTTGTGAAGCCACAACACGCACAACCTTGAGGCGGATGGGGTACAACAGCAGAAGACCCCACCGGGTACCACTCATCTCCACTACAAATAGGAAAAAGAGGCTACAATTTGCAAGAGCTCACCAAAATTGGACAGTTGAAGACTGGAAAAATGTTGCCTGGTCTGATGAGTCTCGATTTCTGTTGAGACATTCAGATGGTAGAGTCAGAATTTGGCGTAAACAGAATGAGAACATGGATCCATCATGCCTTGTTACCACTGTGCAGGCTGGTGGTGGTGGTGTAATGGTGTGGGGGATGTTTTCTTGGCACACTTTAGGCCCCTTAGTGCCAATTGGGCATTGTTTAAATGCCACGGCCTACCTGAGCATTGTTTCTGACCATGTCCATCCCTTTATGGCCACCATGTACCCATCCTCTGATGGCTACTTCCAGCAGGATAATGCACTAAGTCACAAAGCTCGAATCATTTTAAATTGGTTTCTTAAACATGACAATGAGTTCACTGTACTAAAATGGCCCCCACAGTCACCAGATCTCAACCCAAATAGAGCATCTTTGGGATGTGGTGGAACGGGAGCTTCGTGCCCTGGATGTGCATCCCACAAATCTCCATCAACTGCAAGATGCTATCCTATCAATATGGGCCAACATTTCTAAAGAATGCTTTCAGCACCTTGTTGAATCAATGCCACGTAGAATTAAGGCAGTTTTGAAGGCGAAAGGGGGTCAAACACAGTATTAGTATGGTGTTCCATACACCATAATTTGATCAATTCTTTAGGTGAGTGTATATTCCCCAAAAAACAAATCTTAATATCTTATGCAGTTTTTCTTCTCAAGTAAAATTACACTTATTTTTAATACAAATATTTTAATGGAAAATAAGACAAAAATACTACGGAGCCCCTAAAGGGACCTTTGCAAAAATAAAAAATAAAGACTATTGCGTGCGCACGCGATAGTTTCTCGTGCCCACGCGATACGTTTCTCGTGCGCACGCATTACAATTTCCGCTTGCGTACAATTTGCGTCACTGTCATTACTATGAGGAAAACAAGAGCATGGATGTCAAAGTTTAAACTTCTCCTCTAGATTAAAAAAGACCAAAGTGTTATTAAACTGTTGGTTACAACGTGACTAATAAATCCTTATTTTTAAGGAATTGGTTTAACAGGGATATTAATCATCTTATGAATAGGTTTGATTATTATGGAAATATTTTAACAAACGAACAATGTATGGAAATCCATAGTTTTCCTGTGCATTTTAAACAATTTAATTAAAGCTATTTCCCCTACACTGATTCATCTTATCAAAAGTCATAATTCAATTTAACTCCACATTAATGATAAATCCAAAATAAATGGCATTGAATTGATTGATAAAAAAATGCTATAATGAACATATTTGTACAATATTTCAAATACAAAATAAAATAGCACATAGAGGAATTTTTTTGGAACTCTATTATTGATCATATCAATTGGAAGACTGCTTGGTTAATCCTCTTTAAATATTGCATTAATAATAAAACCAAAGAAATACATATTAAAATTTTGCATACTATACATGTTAGAATTTGGATGATTATGGCTTACAGCTATGAAAACCTTTTCACAATATTCTAAATTTGAATTTGGGGTTTTCATAAGCTGTAAGCCATAATCATAAAAATTATAACAAATAAAGGCTTGAAATATCTCACTTTGCATGTAATAATTCTGTTATATATTAGTTTCACCTTTTAAGTTGGGGATGAATTTAAATATTTTTGCTTATGGATATAAAATTTTGCCAACAATATAAATTAACAATGTATTCAAGACCTTTCTTAACATTGTTTTCATAATATACAATAATATCCTTTAAAGTAAAATAGTATTTAATTTTTACTAAATTAAAGATAAATTCTGCCAATTCCTTCCAGAAATTTTGGATAATTTTGCATTAAAAAAAAAAATGAGTCAACACCTCTTTCCCACTTTTACAAAAGGAACATAAATCGTCAATATCAGAGTATCTTGCAATTTCTTTGGTTTTTATTATTAATGCAATATTTAAAGGGGATTAACCAAGCAGTCTTCCAATTAATATTATCAATAATAGTTTAAAAAAAATCCTCTAGGTGCTATTTTATTTTGTATTTGAAATATTGTACAAATATGTTTATTATTGCATTTTTTATCAATCAATTCAATGCCATTTAAAATTAATTTTGGATTTATCATTAATGTGGAGTTAAATTGAATATGACTTTTGATAAGATGAATCAGAGTAGGGGAAATAGCTTAAATGACAAAATTAAATTGTTTAAAATGCACAGGAAAACTATGGATTCGCATAAATTGTTCGTATGTTAAAATATTTCCATAATTATCAAACATATTCATAAGACGATTAATATCCCTGTTAAACCAATTCCTTAAAAATAAGGATTTATTGGTCAACCAACAGTTTAATAACACTTTGGTCTTTTTTAATCTAGAGGAGAAGTTTCAACTTTGACATACATGCTCTTGTTTTCCTCATAGTAATGACAGTGACGCAAATTGTATGCAAACCGGAAATTGTAATGCGTGCGCACGAGAAACGTATCGCGTGTGCACGCAATGTGTTTCGCGTGCGCACGCGATAGTCTTTATTTTTTATTTTTTGCAAAGGTCCCTTATACTTATACTAAAATACTGATTTATTTGTCTTTTACAGTATTTTTGTTCCTCCTTAAGATTTGCATGAACACAAAGTTGTTAGCATCTTGGGTTATCTTTGCTATTCACAAATTGTCTCTCTGTCTTCCTCTGGTGTAGAGCTCCAAAAGATCCTCCACTCCGTACTCTTCCTCAGACTCTGAGTCTGTCCGTCTTGCTTCTCACAAGGGTTCATCAGCAGTTCGAGACTCTGCTGGTCAGCCGCAGGTATACCAGCTTTTCAAAGCAACAGTGGCAACAGCTAGAGATGGCAAAGCAGGAATGAGCCACTCCTCCTCCACATACAAGAAACGGCCTTCATCAAATGAACTTTCCTCAGACAGCCTATTCCAGACTCCCACGGCCCGCAGGGAACTGAATGTTCGTTTTCCTCGAGGTAGGGAAAATATGTATTTCTTGCTCATACTAGAGCTCCAAATTATGTATTAGTGCTGTTTTAGTCAATAAGAAAAATGATTATGCATTGTGATAATCACTGTGCTTGTCTTAGGCTGTGAACGGCGTCCTCCGAAGCATTTATCCCACTCTGAGAGTGGATCCAGGGAAACAGAATCTTCAAAGCCCTCTCGGGCTGGAAACATTCCATCCTTGGTGCCTAGACCACCAGAGACCAGCCTAGTAAAGCTGGTTGGGAAGGTGTACTCCCTCAAGTGCAGGTGAGTTGAAAACACAAATCAGTTTGTTCTGTAAACCTGGTGGTTTTGCTGTCTGGGAGTGGAGAAGAGCTGTGTGCTTACATCATGACCTGATCCCATTCTCCCTCATTAAAGTGCCCCTATTATGCTGTTTATAAACCCTTCCCTCCCGAGAGCCTACTCTGCTCTGATTGGTTAGATGGCCCCGTCTGTTGTGATCGGTCTACTGCTTACAGCGTGTATCAGAAACAAAACGCCCATTACCATATCTTAATTTCAGCTCTGGAGGCTTCCTCAGCACTTGATTCACAGTGATACGAACCGTAATGATGGCGTCTATTTTACTGCATCAATTCAGGCCCGAGTCCGGTAAAGAAACTTTGGAAGAAGTAGCTGATCAACCCGAACCACGGTTTAGTGGTTCAGAATTGACACTTTCTTTTGGGAGACAAAAACTTAACAGTACAGTATAATAATAATGTACAGTATAAATTAAAGCCTGTATTTTTTCGGCACTGGTATTGCACTTAATTTTTTTAATGTGATGATTATCTTGTCTTGTAGGAAATGTAAGTATCTATTTTAGATTCTAAAGGCCAGTGCCAAATAAAAACAATATGGCCTTTAAATAAAATTAAAAAAAAAAAATCTTCGTCCTTTTAAAATTTTTAAAGCAGTGCTTGTGCTTATGGTGCATGAAGATTTTGAATTTGACCTGCATTATGTCCCACCAATAGTTGTCTCCTTGTCATTAAATGCATTGATTGTAGTTAAATGCCTATAAATACACTATTAGAACAATAAGTGTTCTTCTATAAATGATTTTATAGGTTCTGTGAGGAGGTTTTCCAAGGGCCGCTGTCCATACAGGAGGATTGGGTCATGCACCTACAGCAACACATCCTGAAGCTTAAGAAGGATTCGGCCTCAACCTCATCACCTCAGCCTCCTCTCAGTCATACCGAAGCGCCGCTTCTCATCGGCCCTCAGGCTGTCTAGATACTCTTTCTGCTGTGGTCTTTATTTTCATCATTTTGAAATTCTGCAATCACACTACACTGACTCTTTTATTACAAATATTGCTCTATTACCTGGACCTTAACTGCCAACTGTGATGTGGATTTTATTTTTTCTATTTAGATGAACATTTTTGCAAGACACTACTGAAAAAGATAATGACCACAGCGTTTCTTACATGTCAAAGTGTTTTCCAGATGGGATGTTTTGAATGTATTGTACTTTTTATTGCATTTCACTGTTTTTATTGTATTTCGATAATGTGTTGGCACATTTTGTTTTCTTGATTAACAAGATTTCAAACCTGTTTTATACTGTACTTAAAGTTTCCAAAAGTACTTAATGTGTTAAGTTTTAAAAAATGTTTTGTGAAAGAAACAGTGTAGACCAGCTTTTGGTCATTGAAATGAAGTTGTTGTTCTTACCTTTTAATATAGTATTTTAAAAACCGCTTCTCACATGTGTGAACAATCAGATTTTTCGATGCCAAAAAAATTGAAGATTTCATTCATATGTATTAATAAACATTTTCAGGTGTTTTTTTTGTTTTTTTTGTCAAATTTAAGCAGAAACCAGCACTACAGTAAAGCCAGGCCATTTCTAGTTATTTCAGCATTAAATGAGACTTTAATATGTCTTTGTTAATATGTTTTTATAACTGTATTTTTGATGATCAGTTTGTTTTTTTCTATATATTTTCCATAGTACCCGTTAAATTAGTCAACAGTGTGATTCTATTACATGTACTTGTGTATTTGTCTTCTTTGTAAAGCACTGTGTGTCTGGTTGGAGTAAAGGGTGTTTTATACTCCGACAGCATGCTATTAAATACCTTTCCAGAATGTGTGTGGAAATTGCATATTTCCATATACATTGTTTCTTGTGTGATATATGATGTTTTGTTTCACCATTTTCTTAGTCAGGCTTTGCAAGATTTTAAATCAATTGAAACTGTCAATGACAAGCTGTAGTCCTTGCTTAATAATTTGGTAAAATACAGTATTGAAGCTTTTTATACCTGCATTTGATTAATAACAAATTAATAAAGACACTTTGAATCCATTTACTGCTTTGTGGGTCATATACAGTACATTTTCATATTCCTCATCAACTACTGACTCTGCATAAACAATTCAGCATCTTTACAGAAGTAGCCTATATCTTGTATCTGAGACATAAAAGATGGTGATATTCCCAGAGCTACTCTTCCTTTCCATTTTCCATGGCTGTTTTTCACTCACGAGGTCTGGTAATGCTATATTCCTATGTAAATGAAACCCTCCTGTTTCAAGAGCAGCCTATCGTCTGCTTACTGCAGTGAGGAGTCTGTGTAAACCAGCAATGCTGAGAGATACAGGACCAACACCTTTATGAAGCTGTTATTTGGATAAAGGGTCATTTCAGAAAGGAAAAGAGGAAGGTGAAATCGAGCACTGGACTGTTCTGTTAGAAAAAAAACCGAATTATTATGTGCTTTACATATCCTATAAGCCTATCTCTGAGAGCCTTAAAAAAGCTTAGCCTATAGTATGTAAACATAGGCCTATATAAGGTATTATAATTATTGTGTAGCCCAATGTTTAAAAAAAAAAAAAATACATTTTTAGGCAAGTTACCAAAATTGTATTTCAATTAAAATGGCATATCCTGCAGCTTTTCAGCGCTGCGCTTGTTTTGTTCTGTCTTCCGGTTTGTATTTAATTTTCCACAGAAAGAAGGTAAGATCTTACGGATTTTTGAATGAACCGCTCGTTTTTGATAGATTTGTTATAACATTCCGCTTCAGACATTACAATGCTGCTCATGATAACTTTCGTTAACTCTACAATAAACCACTTCAGCTAATTTTCAAACACAACATTATAAAGATGGCTGCACATTTGTTTCTCTGCTGCATAAGGTTTAACTTAGTAGTTTTTGTCCATGTCCCTTCACTTTCAGTTCAGTCCCATTATGCTGTGACATTAATTAAAATTGCGGTTTCATTTTTCTGACATCATAGTTAATGATACTTTGGAGCAGAAGTGGGAAAATCTGATTTCTGGAAAGTTCAGCATTAGGCTAACCTTTTCAAATGAAATTATTTTTTAAAAATCCTGAAATTATCCAGCACAATTATATCAAAATGACCCATGTGCTCACCAAAGAAGTTCAAGTCCAAAGAAGAAGTTTTTCTAGTTCAGCATGAGCCCCTCATGTAGACTAGAGAGAGAGAGAGAGAGAGAGAGAGAGAGAGAGAGAGAGAGAGAGAGAGAGAGAGAGAGAGAGAGAGAGAGAGAGAGAGAGAGAGAGAGAGAGAGAGAGAGAGAGAGAGATCAATGGACATCTTAATGGAAGTAAGGTAGTGAGGCACCGGACCCTTGAAATAGAGTTGGAGAACGCAACAGAGCATTTCTGAAGATTACAGGCAATTCAAACAACACCATTCAAATGGATATTCATGAATAAATATGGTGGCCGACAAAGGAGGTAGTCGAGCTGTGTGGAAAAAATGGTAACTGGTTTTATTCAAGCCAAAAATATAATTTAACATCTATGATTCAACTTAAATTTATCAATTTATACCAACAAACATTTTTTTATGAATTAAATCAGGTAGAAATAGTTGTCCATTGTAACAATTGCAGTTACCGCACTTTTTATAGTGTAATATAAAAGTCATGAATAAAATAGACCTGGCCTTACATTTTCAACTTTCTTGTGTATGTAAAATGTTGCTGTTTGCGCATGAAAAAGCACTCCAAAGGGAGTTTTTCCTCTAGGCTATATCAGCACAGTTTTTGAACTCCCTGAAACAACTCGTTGAGTTTTCTTCCGGAGCACGGGAAGTGTCACAATATTCCTCATTTAAATAATTCCCACTCAAGGCATATGCAAAACAAAGCTGAGAGGCCTGGTTGAGTTGCATTAGAAGTGGTTTGAAACTCACAGGCTGCGTCCGAAATCGGACTCATTCAATCCTATAATGGAGTAATGTAGGGAGTAGGGAATAGCGAATGAGGGTATAGGGGGTGATTCCGAACACAGCTAGACTATGGCTAGGGGCGTGGCATTTCTGAAACACGCTTGAAGCAGTTGACCAATCACAACAAACTGGTCCACCAACCAATCAGAGCACATTGCGCTTTTCGGTAGGAGGGGGTTCATAGAGACAGGAACGGAACAGAGCGTTACTGACAGACTGCAAAGAGAGGTGCTGCAACAGTGTAAAATATGTGAAAAATAATGTTTTTTAAACATTCAAGCAAGAAAACCTATTTCAGTGAATCCAAAAATCCAAACTTTGAAAAAGGGAATAATATGTCCCATTTAAGTCTTGATTTACGATCTGGAATTTGAATAAAACAATTTAAAATAAAACATTTGGGATCTTCAAAATATTCTTTTTCTTCTCTAGTCAAAGGTTAAAACGCTGGATAAATGTATTTCGGCAGCATTTTCAAGGGGGTTGTCCATTTTGAAGTCCATTATCATTGCAAAGTACAAGAGACCATGTATCAGAGCTGAGCCACACACAAAGTCCGGGAGTCTGGTTAAAACTGTGAGATGACAATATTGAATTACAGTAGAGCATCCAAGCCTTCTTCTCAATTTAAACGAGGCCTGTAATCTTTGATAGATGATTTATACGCTTCAAGGTTTGGCAGCTGAGAACAGTTTCTTACATGACTTGTGGCTTTGCAATCGGAGCTCTCCGAGGAGCCGTTTCTCAGTGCAGATGTACTTGTGCTAGAGGATACTTGGAGTTTTTTTGTATTCCATCTTGAGCTGCTTCGCAATGTACTACAAAAATAATCCCCATCTATAATTCACGTCGTTTATTCTTTAAAACCTTATTGAATGGATGTGCTTCATGTCATGATAAAAGAATAAACTGCAATGATGATTATATCAGCTTTGGCAGTCAACACAAACCCACTGTGAAAAATGTACATTAGTAAGCGACCTATGAAATCTTAGCATTATTTATAATTTAGATCTTCTCGAGAGAAAATATCTTTCATGCTATTCTAATGCTCCTCCTTCTATTAGGAACAACGTGTTTTTCATCATGATGCTCTCTGCATCTTCAGTTTCCTCCACTGATGACACATTGATTCTGCGACTGTCATATGACACGACTGACCCGACTGCATCTATCTAACGCAAAGCTCAGGTAAGATGATCTCAAACTGAAAGGATGTGTGAACTTTAATTAACGCCATATTTCTGCTTAAAATGACGTGTGTATCTTTCATCACTGACGGGTTGTGAATATTGTGAACATATTCAGTTGTTCTTCTCTCATCACGTAACTGAAGATAACATGTTTATCAAGGATATTTTCAGCCTAGTGTGAGCATGTTTAGGTGCAATATTTGGTCCATAGATTGATTGATTGATTGATTGATTGATTGATTGATTGATCATAATCAATCAAATATTGTTTATAATGATATAATAATATTTAAACATAAACTGTATCAATTCAATAAAATGAATGTATAATGGGGCTGTTATATATAGATTTTGTGTCACTTTGCTGGAGATTTCAGCAACAAGCGCTGGCTTATTTTTACACTTCTCATTATGCAGCTCAATAGAGAAAAGTACAAAAAGGCACAGTATATGCAAGATTAGTTGATAGCACATCCCATGAGATGACAGGATGAGTGGAAGGAAAGGTGAAATTAAGGGAGGAAGGAAGAAGAGGAAGTTACATAACAGTGTTAATGATGGGCTGTAGTGAAATCCACTGATGTGTTATCAATCCGTATTTACAGGCCAACACTAGCTAAATTGACTAGCTGACTAGCACTGTATGTTGATATTTTTTCAGGTTTTTTTTTTTTTTTGGATGCTTTCTTTGATACTCTAGTCCAGGTTTATTATTGTTAACTCAAATTAAAACAATTAAAAAAACATTTTCATTACTTTTAAGATAAAATAAACATCCATTCATCCAACCACCAGAGGGAGCCCTCTCCCGAATACTTTCCCAGATTCTATTTCGCCTTCATGTTGAGTCCCTCACAGGAATAAAATTGCATATTCATTAAGTTTAAATTGAGGTACTAAAATAACTAAAATAAAATAAAAACTAAAACATAATTAAACCTAGACATTTAAAAAACTAATAAAATTGACAAAAACACAACAAAATTACTAACAACTTAACTCAAATTAAAATGAAAACAAAATATCTGATTCAAAATTATAAAATACTATATTAGTATTTCACTGATATTAAAATAACACTGATCTAAGTATTTGGACATTTGGTTAAAGACTAAGGTTCTGGGGAAAAGGAGGTGGAAACCAGCGAACATTCAACATAATTGTAATCACCAAAATAAACAAACAACAATACAAAAGTAAAGCGGCAGCCCCTCACGGAGACTCCCGCATATAAACATAAAACGCAACATAAACTCATTAGTCATCATTAGCTCATTAGCACTCGTGTCACTAGTTTCGCTCCGTTCCCTCGGCTCTCGGCCCCGCCCTGCTTCTCGCCACACTTCAGTTATATTTAACTAATATTATACCAATACGAAATGATCTTGACATTTGAAGGACTAGACACTGCAGTCTGCAATTCCAGTGAATTTCAATTGTTCCTCAGTATCTCCATCGGATGCGGGAAATTATGGATCCAGGATGATGCATAAACAATAATCTTTATTCAGTGTGAAATATGATTTACTAAAGGTAATCAATATATCCAAGCAAGTATTCAAAATATTCAGATTAGCTAAATATTGATGCAGGAGAAAATTAAAACTAAACAAAGGCAAGAAATAAACATTGTGTGTGCAATCAAGTGAGTAATTTTTACCAATGAGTGCACGTCATTTGAAACATTTCAAATTTGTAACATTTGTTTAGGTGTAGGTGTTTATTTTTTATTTAATATTTATATATAAATAATATATTAAATACTTTATAATTACTTTAATAATTTTTTTATCCTTCAAACATTTTTTGATTGAACGCATTAACTTACAGAACTCGAAAAGGCTATTGGTTTAAAACGTAAACAAAAACATTTTATGGGCTGTGTGAAACCCTAGTTTTTTATA